TGTGTGTTGTGTATATATATATATATATATATATATATATATATATATATATATATATATATATATATACACAAATATACATACATGCATATACATACTGTATACACATACACGTATAAACATATACCTATATATGCATACATACATCCCTCTTCTTGCCAGGATCCGTCTCTCAGTGCTGCCTCGGACAAACAAAACAAACATACAAACAAACAAACAAACAAACAAAACATCTTCTTCTCCACAGTGTAACTCCTACCCACTTGAACATCCTGCATATAAAGATTTAGGTTTACTTTCATTCGCTGTTCAATTCTAATCCAGAAAAACACTCATCCTGAAATGTGCATTCAATATTCACATCCCTCCTCACAGAGGCACATCAACATACCACTTGTATGTATATCTGTGGCGACATGCATATATAAAAACCATGTAGACATTTACAAACTTTCCTTTTTGTGCTCCATTTAGTTAAGTTTTAGCTTAAATATCTGTTCAAACCCAAAAATGCTTACGTTAAAGTGCACACAACAGCAGGTTTACACTGAGAAGAGATCCACTGTCAATAAAGAGCAGCATAGAGTATAATAAACAATATATTCACAAGTTATATCATGTTGGGAATATTTTCCAGTTCTACACTGTGTAGTATTATTTTAATCAGGCCAAATATTAGCAACTGATCAAGAGATGCAACTGTACTGCTTCCTTTCTTAACTGCTTCCTTTCTAAACAGAAAATAATAATAATAAAAATTCAGTGTGTAAAAATGTGGTGGTAGTAACAGAGTACTCTATTTTTGCAGAAGAAAAAGCAGTTTCTTATCTGTTAGTGCTTCAGCATCATTATAAGCTTGACAGGCTGCAGGGTATATTTTTCATTCATTCAAACTTTATTTAAACAGATATATATTTAAAGTAATAAAGAGCAATAAAGCAGCACCATTTGATGATTTTAAGAGCAATATACTGAATAAGAGACAGGCTCATGTGGTAACAGGTACCATAAAGATGATCATTCTGGCTGAAGGAAACAAAAACAATATCTAACATTGACTATCATTACCAAGGAACACCGCTGCACCCATGCAGCAAAGTTCTCCTTAGAAAACATTTTTAGCAGGATGAACCGAAAGCTGCTGTTTGTCCTTCTTACATACTAATATTATGTGAATCTGGCGCTCAGACCTGGTATTAATGAACGTATTTTGTGTTCTAGTCTCATTTAACCACTTTAGATGTAGAAACACACACACAGCCACGTCACACAGTGTGACACTTGATGCTACTTTAAAACTTACAATATATTCAGACAGTGGTGATTTTAGCCTTTTTGGGGGGTGCACAAGCAACCCTAAATTTTAACTTCACACTCTTGAAAAATAAAGTAAAAAAAGAAGAAGCTTTTTTGGGGGTGGGGTCTGTGTTTGGGTTCTGTTTATTGCATTTTATGATTCAATGCAATAAAATAAACAAATATAAAAGGTCATTGTAATATTTGGTTTATTTACATAATGACTTTAAGTCCCTGAGGCTCAATGGGATTAACCTGTTTAAATAAAGGTTGAATGAAAAATCACTGGTTGTCCGTTCCCTGAGCTGCTGCTTTCAGTAACTGTGGCCTACTGAGGGTAGAATACAGTTTATTCAATTTCCAAAACCTAAACTGAGTCTGGAAAAATGTAAAAGATGGATACAGCCCTGCGGTCGACCTCATGATCAGCTGAATACAACAGTGATAAACAGGAAGTACTACATGTTCATCTGTACGAAGGTAACTGCAGGTAAATCCTCCATTTTCTGTCATAATTACATTTTATGCTTAATGGTCAAATTAAAGGTCAATGTTTAAAGCTAGTTGTGCTTTGTTTTGTGTGTTTTATATGTAGATATATGTTGCAACTTCTGCTTGCATAAGTTTAGTGTTTATGATCAGTTAACACAAAACTGATCTTGTACAAACCATTTATTAGGTTGTGTAATGTAAAACAGAATGTATAGCTAGGATGTCTGTATTGTGCGCCGCTAGCTTAGCACTACTTCTTGTTGTGCCGAGCTCTCTAAAATAGTTATTGAATCAAGTGTTACTTATGTAGGTAAAACTAGATGTTAAACAACCTGTTAAAATACACCAGAAAGCAGGAAATGGCATCTACTTTATTCAAAAATTGATGGGGAAGGACCCCCTCCACCAGTGTGTCCCACCCACATTACAAATGCTTCTGACACCAATGGCCACCGCATTGTTCAAGCCAAGAATCATTGTCAGCACTATGGGCTAAGCACCCCTAAAGGGCATAATCTAGAATCGCCCCTACATTCAGACATTGACATATTAGTTTGACATTAACATGGTTCAGAGCCATTTCAGCTGCATTGGTTACGAGTTTTTTTTTTTACACAATTTATAATATGTTTTATTACCTAAAACATAATGTGGGAGACAATAGGGTGCATAGAATAATTTCTGACTTCATAGAGCTCTGCGTTAGAGCAAAAACTAAAAATTTAGATTCAAACCTTAAACTCCTTCATAGTCAAACGGTACACTGTCAGCCTTTGGCTCTTTTCTACGCAGCTTTACTGTGAATAAAACTTCACAGCATTTAATTAGGGTGGTAGGATGTGACACAATGCTGTTCAAACTGTGACTCTGTGACTGACATGGCACGTTTTACTATAAGGAAACGACAGTGGGTCCAATCAGCTTTAAAATCAACCAGAACAAACATACCTGACATGGTGGTGTGAGACTTTAGTGCACATTGTGGCTTTATTTAGTGCTATCACATCACCCAGGATGAATGTTACAAAGACACATTAGTTGACTGAATGGACAAAAAGCACACGTGGCGTTTTATTATTTATAAATATCCTATTTGACACTTAAATTTGTTTCATTCACTACCTTTTAAGAACATTTAAGAAGTGCACATTTAAAAGTGAATTTTCTTTTTGTTATTTAAATCTTACCATTTAATCTTTGATTGCAAATTCCAGACATTTCATTTAGTCCCTGTTGCAGAGTGAAGAGGAGGAATAGGCAATACCCTCTGTCCGTCCGTCCGGCTGTACACGCTATGAGCATATCTTGAGAAATAAGAGAGGTTCCAAACTCCATTTTGGTGTGTGGCTACATCTAGATGTAAGAAAGGTCCCTATAGAAAATTGGGTTGCCACGTCAAAATCCAGACAAGAAAAATACCCATCTTGGAAACTACAAACATTCATTCAGCGACGGGAACATCGGCATGCCGCTTGTTTAACTTAAGTACACCTTAGTAAATAAGAGATATTGGGATAGAGAAACAATCATGTTGGAGTATTCTCACATTTTTATTCACATTGACTAAAATCGTAACTCACGTTTAAGCCAGAACTGTACAACTTTACCCAGGACGACTTTTGTACTGACGTAATAAGCTTGTCATAGTTTAAAACAGGTTGAACCCAGGAAGGCAAAGCACAAGAAGCTTGAATAAAACAAAACTTAATTTGTTGCAACAGACACATAAATGAGGATCAGACACAGGAAAGAGCTATAAACTTGAGGCACATGGCTGCAGGGATACACAATGCTCAAGCTGAGAAACAAACTGAGGTACTAAAAGGACTGAGGCTGATGAAAGTAGCTGCAGCTGTGACAGATGAAACAGAGCAGGTGTACAGGTCCTTCTCAAAAAATTAGCATATTGTGATAAAGGTCATTATTTTCCATAATGTAATGATAAAAATGAAACTTTCATATATTTCAGATTCATTGCACACCAACTGAAATATTTCAGGTCTTTAATTGTTTTAATACTGATGATTATGGCATACAGCTCATGAAAAC